AGGCTCAAACCAGTGCATCTTTAGAGCAAAACAAATCCTGCAACTCCCAGCATCCCCCAGCCACCCATTCTGAAAATCACTGGACTTTTTTTCCTATCCAAACACTCATTAGGATTCCACCTTAATACAATCTGGCGCCCTCCAGTTGTGTTGGACGATGACTGTGATCATAAACGATGGAAATTGCAATCCAAAACTGCTGGAAGTCAACAGATTGAGGAAGGCTGGATTATAACTATATAGCTTGTCATATTTTGATTAAAAAATAATTGTTTTTAAATTGGGCTTCTTGGGAAGTTATAAAGCACAAACAGGCAATGCTTAGCTTCAGAGGGACACACATACAAAGCAAAGGTGTATTCACTCATTTGTGTCTTTAAGAAAGAAGAGGCATGGCTTAATAAGAGGGTGGTACTAAATGGGGTGGTTAAAGGAGGTAGGTTAGAGGCACAGCCATCAGCCATACACACAAACCCACCATTTGTATGAGCACTTGTCTTTAAACTGCACTGGTTCCCATCGACCTGTTCAAATGGGAAATGACTTCCAAGTTAGGGTGTTGACAACTGCAGTTACTCAGTAAATGCACACTTCTTTGCTAGTGCTATTTCATGGGACCAATGAAAGAGCACTAGCAAAATACTAGTGTTACTCTGCTCTATACTCTAGCAGTGTTATCCTGTGTATCTGCTCAGAATTAAGTCCCACTGCATTTGTTGAGGCTTACCACCAGGTGAATGAATAGAAGATTGTAACCTGAATCTTGGCCCATTCTAACGGGATTTCTTTGTCACTGGAGTGAATACTCCTTTCAAAAGGAACACTGCATTAGTTGTGGATAAGGCCATGTTCTTTGTCATCAGACTCAGAGAAGCACTAATTTTAAGGAAATCTCTTTGCAAGTATATGGGCTTAGTGCTGAAGTGTCAGAGTATTTCAAAACACATGGTAGTGGTGACTTATCACTAACTAGAACCATCAAAACAGAGATTGCAGCCTTAAAATAAAATCAGGAGTCAGGGAACTGTTTCTTCCAATGGGCAAAAAGACACTGCGTATTTAGTTGTTACTTAATGTGTTCATGGAATGAGTGTGACAGCAGGACCCTTGCTTGACCACTGGCTGAAATAAGTCTCCTCTTTCCAAGACAAATGTGTTCAAGTAACTACTTCCTTCTCTCTACCTTGTCGGGGTGCCCTAAATGTCCCGCTAGGCAGTGCTGAAGCTAGCGGAAGTGAGCTCCATTTTTTTTCTGTAGTTGTGAAGTTCCTACAATTTAAGTGAGTTTAAAATGAAAATCTACAGAGGCTCAGAGTTGTTATTCTGGTTGCTCTAACATATAGAAACAGTTGTAAGGCACAGAGTATGGCTGGCAGTATATGAAGAGAAATGTGTGCATCACAGCTGAAGGAATCCATGTGACCAGCTCAACTCTCCCACTCGCATAAGACCAGCTAAGGCACAATCCTATGGATGTTTAGACAGAAACCCCCCCTATAATTCCCAGCATTTCCTGCCCTAGGCACTTGTGTACCAGGGACAGTTCTGCCAGAAAGAGCCAAAGTGAGACACTGGTTTGGAAGTGAGATCCGGGAGAAATAGGTACAAATCCCCTTTGACATCAATTCCAAACCATGCTAGCATGAATGAGGTACTCAAAACCAAAGTGTTAAGGCGCAAAAGCAACGTGCCGACTCAAAAGTAAGCCTCATTTCAGCAGCTTTGCCTAGCAGATATAGTGGTTCAGGTTCTTGGCTGTAAAACCAGAATTTTGCATGATGTGACTTACAGTCCAGTGGTTCTGAAGGACAGCAGGTTGGAAAAGGCTGGTTTACAATCTGACAAGGCTGTTGTTCTCAGGTCATTTTGTGTGTCTACAGGTTTGTAGTCTTATGCGCAAGTTGTACAGCACTCAGAACCGAGTAAACATTAACAGGGATGGGTCAGAGCCATGCTTGTGGAATCTGGTTGAGATTTGGGTCAAGTCTCAAGCTGAATGAATCTCCGATAGTGAAATCTGAGGAGAAACATACATTACATTCAAGGGTATTTACTTCCAGGAAAGTGCACAGGATTGCAGCCTCAGGAAGCTTTATTTTAACTGGAATATAAAATGATGAACTACCACACAGAGTGATTTCTTATTTTCTTTAGTCCAGTGAGGTTATTCTGTGTGGTACCCCAGAAGTCATTTACAAATAGAATGTGGGTTTAGATTTGAGGCATGTGTACTGCTACTTATATAAAATGTATTTAAGTATATTAATTTGATCTGAATATGAGATAACCATCATTTGTTCCTCAATAGCCCAGTAAGTGAAATTGTATTTTAACAGTATCCTTGCTAAGAAGCAAGTCATACCGAGTTCAACAGAACTCACCCCAAAATCAGTGTCTTTTGCACTGTAGCTTCAAATATTATTGCACAGTGAGTTTCATAGTATATCATATAATTAAAATAAGATATATTACAAGAACAAACCCATGCTTACTTTGTTTTCTACACATGTAGTATGAGAAGAGATCAAGGAACTGAAATTGCCCTTATTGTACAAAGACCAGAGACTTTTGTAAAATGGAAGCTGGCAATTTGGAGATTATGGCCCAGTGTGGAAGAAGGTGCCAAATACCCCTCCTTTTTCCCTACCTGTGGATGCCCACATGCCTGCCCTATTAACTTTCCTTGCAAATATAAAGTTATTTATCTGTTGCAAGGACATAATGTCATTACTGTTCGACAATTTCATCTTCATCATCATCATCATGCACCTGGGGGATAATCTGGAAGTTGGCAGGGATACCAGGCTTTAGGCCAGTCATGATCAGGCAGTTGTTAATGTAAGGTGAGATAAATCCAAGGGGGCAGAGAGAGAGGGACTGGGGGATGGGGAGAAGAGGGATGAGTCTATTTCAGTTCCTTATTCTGATCATTTCTGTAGTTCTGTACGTTACAGGACAAGCAAGAATCAGCATGGTCTTGAGCTCATCACTCTCTTCTTTGGCTCCACCTACCTTACAGGGTGGTTGGAATGATAAAATGGAGAAACCTTAAGAACAGCATATGAAAGCCATACAGTGCAATCCTATTCGTGTTTACTTAGAAATAAGTCCCGTTCCATGTACAGGACTGCAGCCATAATTAGTAAGGAAAGGACCTGGATCAGGAACCACCTTCAGTGCAATGAAAAGGTGGGCCAGGCTGGCAGCTCTGCAAGTTTAACTCTTCTTGGAATACAGTGGGATTCCTGAGGAACTACAAATTAAGGCTGCAATCATATACTTATTGTCCTGGGAATAAGTCTTATTGAACTTAAGTAAACATACTTACATTGCTCTGAAAATGTAGAACTTCTGCACACACTTTACTGAGCAACCATGTGGAAGATTAGCATGTATATTCATTCCCCCCCCCCATCCCCCATCTTCCACTGCAAGGCACCAGGAGGAGTACACTAAGAACATCCCCGAACAAGAATGGCCCGGTATGTGACTGATCTCCATCTCTATTGGCTGAGGACCCTAAATCCCTCCCCTTGAGTGGTCTGTTATGTTTATAAGGTGGCCCTTTCTTGAGTGTATTGCAGAAACCTCTAAGCACCAAGCAGTCTCCTTTGGCTTAGTAGAACTGGAAATCACTGTGACAGAAATGTTGTCTCCCATTACTCAGAAGCAGGAGCAGTTGGACTTAGAATAAATTAAACTATCCTGAATAAAAATGTATAGGATTTTGACTGTAAAACTAGAATTTTGCATGCAGTAGAGGATGTATTTCTATATGGGCATCTGGCCAGGTCTTCTGTAAATTCTTTGGTTGTGCTGATTCCAGACAAAGCATCAAAAGGCACCCAAGAGTGAAATCCACAGCTTCCTGGAGTTGATTGCAGGGGGTGTTATCTAATGTTAATCCTTAGAGCAGAACCATTAAAATGGATGCATTTAAGACAGACTAACATTGGATAAAACCCAGGATTTTTAATTCAACTCAGGATATTTAATTCAGTCCTGGGGAATCTTGTAGCCTGTGATGGTGATGGTCATCTACTTCCATCCTCTCTATTGGGCAGGCTGGCTGGGGCTGATAGAAAACGGAGTCAACAATATCTAGAGGGCAACCACAACCTGATTTTAACTGATTTGAAGGTGTGAATGCTGGACTATTTTAGGGGAGCAACAGAACATGAAAAGTAACAATATTTTTGGCAAGTCTGAAATCAAATATCCTGTCATGCCTCCTATCTTCCCTAGAATTCCAAAAGCCTTTCAACCAGTATTCTTACCTTGTGAAATATTTTTACCTTAGGAATACTAGCAATAACCTTCACTATGAATAACTAACCGGGACTTTCGTGTCCATTTCGGTCTGTCTTTCTCAGCTTGAGCTGCAGCGTAGGTTCTATGGTGACACTTTTACTATCGAAATATATACAGATTTTTACTAGCTCTTGGGGGAAACCCAGAGGCTGGGGGGAATTTTCGTATTTGCTGGCTTGTAAACCATTTTTATTGGAAAGCATCTAAGGGGGAGGGAGAGTTCTGGTTTGCCTTTCGCAGCCTACACTTTGTACACTGATTCTATCAAAAGAAAGAAACCCACTTTTTCAGAGTGTACGTGTAATGCCCTTTCCACCTACCCTTTTCTGATCAGATTTTCTCAAAACAAAACAAGAGATGGTAGCACTAGCGACTTGAACACCCTGATTATATTTTAACGAAGTTTGGATGGGTGGACACACAGCTTTTAGCTGAGAATCTCATGGCTTCTAACTCCCCCCTCCCCCATTGCACTACCCTAGACTGCTGGAAGAACTAAGGGAATGACCCACAGGAATGTGCCCTAAGTCATTTGATCTGAAGCGCCATGCAAAGTATGTTAGGATGCAATCCTATGCATGTTTAGACAGGGACAAAGGCATATAATGTATAAAAAAGCATGTCAGGTCTTTTAAAAATCTAAATGTGCATAGGATTGCAACCTGAGAACTCTTAACACCTTTATGGGCATGGAAGCAGCAACTGAAGATAACTTTCAAGTAAAGAAGCTGATGGTAAAGGATATTAAAACACTTCACCCAGATCAAGCATGGGGGTCTTCTGACTCTTGTTGGTTTCACATCATCCCTAGCCAGTGGAGGATAATGGGAGTTGTAGTCCAACGTCTGAAGGGTCACCTGTTCCCCACTCCTGACAAGGGATCTGGACCAATAGAGTGCCATCTACCTTTACATTCACTGGAGGCAAAGCTGTTGGTTTCAAGCATAAATCCCTCTGATTTTGACCTTAACTTGGAGGACCCACTTTTGAGAAGCATGTTTAAGGCATGGTACAACTCCGGTTTCTTGAGACCCCTCTCCCTTTTCCCTCATGTAAGGGTGGGCGTCTGGGCTGCTGAAGAGGTCAAATGTACGCGGGCAAGGCCGCCCCCTCCTCACCCATCCCGGTCCCCTGGACGTTCGCCCCTTAATAAGCGGTGGAACTGACTGCAATTATGCGTTTTATCTTGCAGACGATCTTTCGCCCAGCGCTTTAAGGAGACAGAAGTATTTGTTTGATGTATCGACCCTCTCAGACAACGAGGAGCTGGTGGGAGCGGAGCTGCGGCTCTTTCGCAAAGCCCCTGGCGATCATTTCTCCAAGGCTCAGACAGGCCTGGCCCATTTGCAGGTCTCGCCTTGCCTTTCGGGCCGCCTCTTGGACTCCAGGACTCTGGACCTGCAGGAGGCGGCGTCTGCCCGGGCCGGTGGTGACTGGGAGGTGTTTGATGTGCGGCAAGCTCTGCAGCCTCACCAACTCTGGAAGCAGCAGCAGCAGTTTTGCCTGGAGTTGCGAGCCGTCGCGGGGACTCGAACTCAGCAGCAGCTGCTGGACCTGCGCAGTCTGGGCCTGGGGCGCGGCGCGCGAGCGCAGCAGGAGAAGGCGCTGCTCGTGGCTTTCACCAAGTCGAAGCAGAAGAATCTCTTCGCGGAGTTGCGCCAAGAGCTGGGGGCGCAGCAGCGGAGCGCGCATGCGCCCTCCTCGCCGGAGTCAACGGCGGCCGTGAAGCTGCGCCTCAAGAGCCGCCGGATGAGGCGCACGGCTTACAACAACCGCCACGGCAAGCGGCACGGCAAGAAAGCGCGGCTGCGGTGCAGCAAGAAAGCCCTGCACGTGAACTTCAAAGAGCTGGGCTGGGATGACTGGATTATCGCTCCTCTGGAGTACGAGGCGTACCACTGCGAGGGCGTGTGTGACTTCCCGCTGCGCTCGCACCTGGAGCCCACGAACCACGCCATCATCCAGACCCTCATGAACTCCATGGACCCGGGATCCACGCCCCCCAGCTGCTGCGTGCCCACCAAGCTGACGCCCATCAGCATTCTCTACACCGACGCGGGCAACAACGTCGTCTACAAGCAGTACGAGGATATGGTGGTCGAGTCCTGCGGCTGCAGGTAGCCCCGTGCTTCCCGGCGCCCCCCGGAGGGGAAACAAGGAAGTAGCAGCAGCAGCAGGGAACTCGAGGGAGAACGCACGCTGGACTCTCCAGGGCTGGCTTTCAGGGAAAGGGAATCCGAGGAGGCGATCGCTCGGCGTGGCAGCGGCTTGCCAGCGCTTGGGAAAGCCCTCCCGGAAGGAGGCGTTCGGAGCAAGAGAGGGAACGAGCGCGAGCAGCTCCCGCAAGCGCTCCGCCCACGGTGCCGAGGTCCCCACGTGGGGAGGCACGAAGCGGCTGGCCGGAGATGCGCCTGGGCTCTCGCTGGACCGTAAGAGTTCAGGTTCCAGCCCGTTGCGAGGGGGAGCGGGAGGCGAGAAGGCAGCAGTCCAGGGAGCTTCGGGGCTCCCGCGCCCAGGCAAAGGAGCAGTCGGTCGCCTGAACGAGGACTTCTGATCCGAAAACGCGTGGCATGCATGGATCGAGAGAAGAGGGCTCCTAGCTGCTGTGGGCTTTCCGCGTAAGCAGCCACCGCCGAGTTCCCAGATACGGGGCCAGACTCTGCTTCCATCCGGCCCGTCAGTGTTGACTGGGGAGCGGCGCTTCAGGAAAGATTTACTTCCTAGCCCTAGGTGGAGATGCAGGGGATTGAGCCTGGGATTGTCTTGTGTGCAAAATACGTGGTTTTCCCATTGAGCCCCCTCCCGAGCACCGAGCACCGTAAAGCGAAGGACGCAACCCTTAAGGGATAGTTGGAAGGAGAAAAGCAACTTTTTTCAAATTGGCTTTGTGAGAAGCCGGGAAAGGCAGGTGTGGCTGGTCAAATTCACAAGTGACATTTAGGTTGAGTTCTGTACATCCTACCCCAGCCCCAGATGCTAGTTTAAGACAACCTTTCTCAGCCCTGGCTGGTCAGACTACAACATACACAGCATGGCCTACAAGCCCCAGCATCCTCCAGCCAGCTGGCTGAGGAATGCTGTGACTTGTAGGTCATACTGGGAGTCATAGGTCAACACAGGTGGGGTGCCCAGATTGAGAATGGGTGGAGTAAGGTGCATATTCAGTTTTCTAAGTCACTTCAGTCCTTCTAGAGGGATAACTCATGCATGTGCAAACTGCTTGAAAGGGACTCCTTGGAGGCATTGTTATCCTGGGTTATTTTTATTCCTATGCAAAGCAGGAGGATGGGACTGTGGAAGAGCACTTGCTCAAAGCCTCTCTATTGGACAATAAGTCAGGAGTTTTAGTCCTTGGGAGACTGCCCAGGAAGAGGGAGTTGGGGACAAGCACGGAAAGTGGCTCCCCTGAGAGGGCTCTAACTTTAAAGGCTGCCTAAAAACATTTAGCATAAATAAATGTAGACTCTCAGAATTATCTGATGGGCTAGCGGCTTTCCCAAATGGGTGCTTTCTAGATGTGTCTGATCAGCCCACATATGAGATGGATTGACTCCATAAAGGAAGGCACAGCCTTGCATTTACAGAGCTGAGCAGTGCTGTTATAGATAGGACATTCTGGAGGGCTTTCATGCATAGGATCACCATAAGTCAGAGATGACTTGACAGCGCATAACGACAACTGACTATAGCTCCCATTGTCCTTAGCCAGCATGGTCACTGGTTGATTGAGGGATTAATTGAGGCATCAGGGGGTATTGCCAGAGACACCTGGAAAGTGTCTGGTTGGGGAAGGCAGCTTCAAGGGAAGAAATTGAGAGGGTAAGGCCAGAACAGGTGGTCTGATGTTTCTTCAGAAAGCCCAGTATTTTGCTCCCTGCTCTCTTACATGATTATGAGGCTTGAAGTAGGTTTAACAGCCTCCTTCCCTCCACAGTGCTTGATTCCAGGCTGCAATTACCTGTTAGGTTTGCCTTTAAATCCTAGGAATGAAAACTGTAAAGAAGGTTAACAGCACAAACAAGATGGATTTTTAGGTGGGTGGGGAAGCACCTTTTAATTTCAGGGTGTCACCTGGCAGTAAGTTCCAGGAGAGGCGGTGTCTAGGCAGATAGCAGCAGTATTACACCGTTGATCCGATGTGATGGCAAGAGAGCAGATCATGACACTTTTGCCATTCTTCTCAACCTTCCACAAATGTGGCATTACATGCAAGAAAATGCACTTCTAAGCATTCCTGACATCCATAAGAGGTTTCCTTCCTTTCCTTCACTGAATTTGGGAGTAGTTAAAGCCCGCCAGACTATTTCATTTCATAGAACTGTAAAGTGGCTTGGGAGAGTAAAAAAAAAAAAAAAGAATGAGTGTAAAAATAAATAAATAGATAAATAAATAATATAAGAATGTTAATAAAGGAAAGCCTTGGCCAGGAGCAATAATTTCTTTTAAATGCACACTTTGGTTTGGATGCATTGTTGTTCACATTGAAGCTGTAAATATTAGTTTATTTAAACAGACTGCAAAGTGCAAACACGGAGGTGAACAAGATGCATTTCCTTTCTTCCCTAATGTCCAGAACATTATATGCACTCAAATGTCTAATATTTTTAAAGAAGTTTATATTTGAGCTGTACAGAATTAAGCATTAACCAAATGTTTCATTTGTATGTGTGTAATGTTATCGTTTTACTTTCAAAAATGTTATTGCAAGATTTAAAATTCTGTGCTAATAATGCAGAGTTCTTTTCTACTGTCTACCTCACAGCTACAAGGGCACAGTCCCCTGGGAAGCTCTACCTACCCTGCTCTTGCACCGTCCCCTTTCATTTCCATGAAGCTTGAGCTGGAGGTCTTCCCTGCTATGTTGTGCTCTAAATATTTCCAATTCTAACAGAACAGTCCTGAACCCTTGTGTCTAAGACTAAGCCACATTGAATGCAGTGGGGCTTGCCTTGGAATAGGTATATATAGGGATGCATTGTAAAACTCTCTGAGGTAAATTCATATCCAGAACACTTTTACAGTACATTTTTACTGAATGGTACTAAAACTATTGCTGTATTATTAAACTCTTCCTCCATCCCCCAAATTGGTTGGTTTTTCTGTTCTAATTTAGTTAAATGCTAACACATTTTTGTCTTTACATAATGTTGACTAAAATTTCTAAAACACTGTTGATCAGCTGAAATAAGCACCTCTTAAAAACCTAATCTTCAAAGACTTTTGTACTTAAAAAACACAGTTCGATGTGAGTTTAGACGAAAATGAGGGCTAAAACTCCCAGCATGCCCCAGCCAAGGCATGCTGGGAGTTCTAGGTCTCATTTTTCTTTTTTAACTTGCATAGGATTGTGCTTTAAATGTTTTCACTTTCTTGTGAGATTCTAAATGGTAATGTTTTGAGCTAACTACGAACTTCATTAAGAGTGGAAGTGATGTTACATAAGCTTGTGCAATGTTCACTTACTACAGAGACATCAGTAAAGAGAAGGAAATAAAGACCTGGTGGAGGTGTATGCATTTCTATATATTATGGAGCTATGTTCAATGTTGTGTTCACAGCCAAGCCTTCATACATGTGAGTGAGTGCAGTCAAGAGAAAACTGAGCAGGTTTTACCTGGAGTTAGTAGAACAGAGGTGTTCAGTAAAGTTTTGAAAAGTAATTCTCTGAAATGGGACTAAAACATGCTTAATAGCTCCCATGTTGCATTTGCCATGTAGAAGCAAGCCCTAGCATAGATTGCGCCTTTTGTTACTCTAATGCCTTCCAGTTGAAGCAGCAATGTTTGTTGGGGACCGGGGGGAGTTGTAGTCCCAACAACCCCAGAGGGCAGCAGATCAGGGAAGGCCAATGCATTACATAGAAACATGATTATAACTGGAGTGTGGGTTTTGATCTTCCTTCATGACAGGTTTGTAAGATAAAGTCCAGAGGTCAAATGTGGCACTCTGGGCATCCCAATCTGTCTCTTTAGGGTTCTGCTCCCCTTTCCCTGATATGCATCCCCGAACATTTGGTAATTCCCTTCATTTACCCCCTAAGAGCCTGAAATTCCTCTCTACAGAATGAGTTGCTGGCCACAAGAGCTTTCAGCAAAAGCGTACTGCCGCTTTTGGCCTCCCCTCTTCTGTTTTCTGCACCGCCCACCACTGGGATGTGGATGTGACGTCTTAGGTTTCCATAAATTGGATAAGAAGAAACAGATTGCAGTTGCTCTAGAGACAAGCAGCAGTGCTTAGTTAATAGCATTGACCTAACTGCAGGATCTGGGGCAAATAACAATATACACCAGGTAGAGACAACTCAAATGTTAAACCACAGTTAACCACAATGAACCTTGCTATTGTTGTTAGACTAGTGAAATTTGCTTGGGAATTCAGTGCTCAGGTTGGAAGATGTTCAACAGCCTGCATCTCTTGCTTTAGGGCAGGAGACTTTTGGATGAAGCTAAAGAGTGGAAGCGCCATTCACAAACATTTCACTTGTAATCCTCCTGTGTTTTCTCCCCTCTCCTTCTGTCTTTTTCCTTACCACAGAAAATCTACCAAAGAGGAAAAGACAGACTAACTGCCCAATCCCACCTTCGGATTGGACATGCCCTCCCTTTGGAGGCAGCCATGTTCATTGTGGGGCTTTCCTTTAGGAAGGACATTAGCAAACTCTCTGTATACTCAAGTGCTCTGGTAGGAGAAGTTCATGTTTAATTGTGCCAAAGTATTTGCTGGAAATATGAGAATCAAATTATATAAATATCAGTAGAAGTTTGTTCCCATTGGGTCTTTGTGTGTAGGCTTGAGTCCATTTCTGTGTGACGGAAAGGTGGGTATAATTAAATAACTATAATTAATTCCCTTTGTGAGAAAGTGCTTTATAACATACTTTATTTTTCCTCAATATTGCCCTTGATTTTTATTATTTTTAATATGTAATATTTTAAGGATTGAAGTAGACAAGGAGATACTGATGTAAAAATAAAATGAAGCATTCCACCATCCTTTCCCACATAATTTCAAACCTAAATATTTCTTTCAAGGCTTCTGTTCTGTGTTATAAATACATTAACATGTATTTATTTCATGGAAGCTCTCTAAAACTGGATCTCTCTCCAGTATGCAAAGCAGCATATCTTTAATATCAGATTCTCTTATTCAGATTCTCCATTGTGCTCTCAGGGTCTGAAAACATGC